TTTTTTTTTTTTTTTTTTTTTTTTTTTTTTGGTTTTCAACAGTGTCGTGTTTCAAAAAGATGGTCGTTGGAGAGTAGTTGAAGAACTGTTGTTTTTTAAAGTCATCTTTTTCATTTAAAATTTTTTAGCGTAACAGGCGGGGAACTATTCGAAGACATTGTCGCTCGCGAATTTTACAGCGAAGCTGACGCTAGGTTGCGATCTGTGGATTTTGTACACTATATTTTTTCGCTTTCATTTCATTTTTTTTTAAAACGCATTGTTATTCTTTTCAGTTTCTGAATTTGTTTCAGTCACTGCATACAACAAATACTAGAATCAATTGCGTATTGCCATCAGAATAATATAGTGCATAGGGATTTGAAGGTAAACTGTTAAAGTCTCAGAATGTTTCAACTGTGGTTTTTTCAGTACTTGATTTGCGTAAAATTAGTGTTGCTAGATAAAATCTTGTTCATATTCTGAACAGCAAACGTCGACCTGTGATTAAGTTTCGAGGTAATCAAGTATTTACCCTAAATTATTTAGCCCGAAAATCTTTTGCTGGCTAGTAAGACTAAAGGAGCTGCTGTCAAGCTCGCGGATTTTGGTCTTGCTATTGAGGTTTCTGGTGATACAGAAGCTTGGTTTGGTTTTGCTGGTACACCTGGTTACCTCTCTCCCGAGGTACTTAAGAAAGATCCATACGGGAAGCCTGTGGACATTTGGGCTTGTGGTGGGTAATTCAGACCGTAATCCCAGTGTAGCATTGATTAATCTGCTTTTACTTGTTTGTCTGTGCGGTTTTTCTTAAAAAAGTCGTGAAAAGAAACTATTTTTTCAGGAGTAATTCTCTATATTCTTCTTGTCGGATATCCGCCTTTCTGGGATGAGGACCAACATAGATTGTATTCGCAGATTAGAGCTGGTGCTTATGATGTATGTACTTTAATGCTTTTATGGCAGAGGACTATGCGTTCTTTCGTCATTGTTACTGATTTAAAGAGTGTATCTGACTGCTTTTTAGTATCCTAGCCCAGAATGGGACACAGTCACACCGGAAGCAAAAAGCTTGATTGACAGTATGCTTACAGTTAATCCCAAGAAACGTATCACAGCGGAGCAAGCACTCAAAGTTTCGTGGATCTGCGTGCGTTATTTTGTGAATTGCATTTTAACTGCCGATGTATTTCTTTTTTTGTTGAAAAAAATGTGAAACAAATTGTTTTGAAGCTTGCTTGATAATATTTGTAGAATCGTGAACGTGTCGCTTCAGTTATGCACAGGCAAGATACTGTCGATTGTCTTAGGAAATTCAATGCAAGACGGAAGCTGAAGGTTAGTTTTTTTAAACCTTTTTTATTAATGCATCATAAACTTTCTAATGATGAAATAAAGTTTTTCTTGTGATTTGCATCATGTGACAAGATGTAGAGGATTTGATTTTGTTTTACGAAGCTGTTGTTTTTGTGTCTTTCCAATTGTATTTTTGAATTTTCATTTGTTGAATTCTCCTAAATCAAAGGTTATTTGATTATTGGATGTAATAGAGCTACAAATTGATTTCAACCGGTTCTGTTCTTCCCATTTGGGAAAAAGAACGAAAATTAGCTTCGTAAATATAGCTTATTGGTTTTCAACTGAAGTCACTGTTGATAATCGTAACTTGTTTCTTCTATTCCTTCTAAATTTTCCGTTCTTTCCTTTATAGTTTTCCATTGAACTGAGCATTCGCTGCATTTCTTTCTTTTAGTTGATGCATTTTAGTTTAAGGGTTTTATTGAAATTTCTTTTTGTTTTATTTTGCTTCGTTCAATTAATTGCATGGTCGAAGTCGGGGTGGTACTAGGTACCAGATTAAAGTTTTCTGATAAATACAAAGTACCAAGGTAATTTCTTTTGTACCTCTACTTTTTTGTTTATTTATTATGTAGTAATTCCTCTAATGCAATCACAGTATGGTTTCTATTGACTCGAGGTTTATTATCTGATATTTTTTTGATTTGCGTGCAGGAATTTTTAGGTATACATTTAATGGTTTGACATAATTCTGTGGAATTGCTTGTTAGTTCTGGTCTAGGTTTTTAATGTTATGCTGGCTGCCAGAGCTGTTGTTATAGTCCAGATAGTCCACATAAATTAACGGCATGCAGATTATTTTGTATTTTAGATGTGTTGTTCTCACTTAAATATGAGATTTTTCTGGTACTTGGTAGTATTGCGTACGAATTTTAGAACAGAAAAGAATCATGTGTTGTTTTAGTGGTTTTTTGCACTACGAGCTCCGCATTTGTTTTCTAACATAATAGAAGAGCTGAAAATGAAAAGAATGAAGTCATTCCATCAATGTTATTACCCACATTTGGCAAAATTTATTTTGTCTTTTGATCCTTATGTATGCTTTGGTTGGTGAAAACTGTTTCCTTTCACTGCACAGTCAGGCTTAAAACACCATTTGCTTGTCGTGGACACACTGAAAGGAATTGTGTTATCTGTTCCACTTCATTTCTGTTTGTCTTTTTAAAATTCGTAAAACTTTTCCTGCGTGTTTGTTTTCCTTCACATCCCTCTTTTTGATACTCGTTTAATTTGAAAGGTCTGTGTTTTAGTCGAGAAATTTTAGTTTAGAGCAGGATTCGGAAGTTGTTGACAAAATTAACAAATGTTTTTTATTTCCACTGCCGGATTCTGAGTCATCTGTAAATCGTTATGGTTCTAATGTCTTTACCCTTTAATTTTATTTCTCTCGTTAGTAAGTCGGAAAAGAAGTTCTAAACAGTTGTGAAATTTAGGAGCATAGACGTTATTGTGTTTTTTGAGGAGCGTTTTTTTTCAACGTTTATACAACGTCAGTATCATACTGCAGTATATATTCATTAAGATGATATTTGATGATTGAAGTGACTAGGAGATGAAAGTTGATTTTTCAAGAAAAATTTTTTCCATATTTCTTTCTAATTTTTTCTCGCTCCCACATAGAGTGAAGGAAAATTTAAATGAATAAATATTGATTTATAAGGCTGCCATCTCTGCGGTAAAAGTAGTGAATCGTATGAGTGGAGTTTTTCGTGCTTCCGAGGTGAGCTCATCGTCTGTTACCAGCATGTCACCGAGTTCGTCTCAAGCGTTTGGTACTGCGACCTGTGAATCTGAAACACCGCTTACATCACCAAATGCAGCAACAGCCTGCGGTTGCAATGAGTTGGCTATGACGTCTGCAAAACCGTCAAATACTTCTACAGCATCTGCAGCCGGTACATCAAATGTTCCGACTACTGCCAGGTTATCGACGACAGCAGTACAGCAGCAGCCATCTGAGGTGAATTGGTTCAATAGCAAAAAAGAAAAATAATATAAGAAAATAAAAAGTTTGAGAAATTATGAGGATTTGGATTATTTCTTCTAATAGCATCGCCCAGAGGCATAAAAGTACATAATTTTAAAATATGGAAAGCTCGAGTTAATATTTATTAATTTTTTGCTGCTTTTACCCTTTTGAAGGCTCAAGTACTGAAGTAGACAAGATGCGTTATGATTTTTTTTTTTAGATTTTAAGTTTTTGAAATTAGGTTGATCATGAAATGCATTTGAAACTTAAAAAGGAAGATTTTCTTAACGGAAATATTTAAATATTAATAGGCAGCTTTAGTTCTTTATGCGCATATGTTAAACGAACTTCTCAAAAGTATGTTAAGGTTTTTAAGATTATTTAAAATAATTTTTTCGTTATTCTTCTATAAGCTTGTGCCGCTGAAGGATGTTAGTTCAACGTTTTGTATCTGTCAGTCTGAACGATAGCGGTGGGTGTAGAAGCTTTTGTTCAGTAAAAAATAACTCGTAGGTCTCCTGAAGGATTTGAGAATGTTAATTTTCTGTATTTGTAAATGGATGTTTCTATTTATGTATCTATTGTACCTGTGGCGTGTAACTGTGTATGTGTTTTTGTGTATGTGTGTGGGTGTGTAGGTGCGAATATAAATAAATAATACACAAGTGTATTTAAGGTTTCTGCTTCAGTTTTCAAAATCTGTTCTTATAATTTTGATAATGAAACTTTTTTTTATTTAAGAGTGCAGTGGTTTCCAATTTTAGTTGCAGTTTTTTGGTAGATAAAATTCGCGTTGTAAGATTACTGTTGATTTTTTCCAACTTTACTTTTCCT